GCAGAGATGCCCCGCCACGGAGGCCCGGCGGTGGCATCTCTTCGGGGAGGATTCAGGGAGGTTGGACTGCCTCACCCGCTACCCAAGGGAGGCGGGGGCCCTGGCGAAGAGCACACTCTTCGGGGCTCCGAACATTTCGAACGGATAGGCTACCACACACACACACAACAACAACAACAACAACAACAACAACAACAACAACAACAACACGAAACAAAGTAATAAAATTAGCAACCCAGAAAAAAAAATTGAAAAACACAAACAAACCAAAACACCCCCCCCCTAAAAAATAGCAAAACAACAACAACAACAACAACAACAACAACAACAACAACAACAAACAAACGAAACTTCAATAAAAATATGGAAAATAACAGCAAAGGCAACAATAAAAATGGGTTAAAAGGTAACAACAAACAAGAATTAACAACGTGCGAGTAAGCTCTTGTTTATTTCTCCTAAAAATACAGTTGTTTATTTTCTTTCAAATAAATCAATTTCTTTCAGATTCATCGGAATCAACGCCTCAGATATCAATTTAAGTGCTGGACGTTACTTTGGAGTGAGCGAACCACCCTTTCCTGTCGGCTTTGAGGTACGACCAGTTCCAAGCAAATCTGCATAATATAAGCACCTCTGCATAATATTATGTATTATGTATGTGCAAATATAATGTACATTATGTATCATCGTCAAGCTGTACAATAAGTACTTTATAAGGCTTGGAAACAATCTTTTTACTGAGAGAGAAAAAATGTTTCAGTTTTGGAACGAGTGTACCAACGTAATGTATTTTTCTGGGCACGATATTCGGAGACACATGTGAATAGTTATTAGTCCACACACCCATACACAGTTTTTGTTATTTCTGAGAGTATTTTTCATCACAGTACAATAAATGGTGCTGTAATTTTAAAGTGTTCATTGTGCGCTTTATTACTAATACAAAACAAAGTCCTGGCTTTTTCTTTAGAGATCAGCTTTAAATTCTTCTATTACAAGATGCCCCAACTTAGCGAGGCTGACCTCAAGTTTAGCTTTTGCCTAGCACAAGGCAGAAATTCTGCCTGAGAAACAGCGAGACCGCTAAATTGCAGTGTCTGTATCTTTTCTCAACTGATCCAAAGATAATTTTTGTTTTGGAAGGTGGCCAATGAAGCAGGTTCTAACATGCTTAAATGAGTGTGATTTGCTTTACCATGCAACTGTCCTCCTCTCCTTCTTCTTTTGTGTTTCAGGGTATAGGCGAGGTGGTTGCAGCAGGCCCAGAAGCCAGCCTCACCCCAGGCCAGAATGTGACCTATTTAAACTTAGCGTCGTTTGCTGAATACACGGTGAGTTTTCTCAATATTTTTCTTTTTTGTTTGTTTGCTTGTAAGTGTTTTGCAGCTCACGCAACTGCCTAACATGGTCATATGAGCGCGCCAGACACATTAATTATTTTCAATCTGATAGAAATTCATTTTTAATTTTGCCCGGATGGCGGCCGAACCCTAGTCTTATCGATTTTAGAACCACCAAGGGATGTTTTACTGACACAACTTGTAAACGGAATATCTGATATTTTTTGCCCTTATCTGAGAAGGCTAGTTGTAGATCTTACCTACCCTGAGATCTGGGGTGTGGCTGAAAGACAGCAATAAGAAG